TTGCCGCCTCCGTAGCCTGCTGCTGTGGACTCTGGAGCTGAGACTACTGGTGCTGAGCCTGGGGGTGCTGAGACAGAGGGTGAGGGTTCTGCGGGTGCTGCGCCTGGGGGTGCTGGTTCTGGGGGTGCTGCGACAGGGGGTGCTGGTTCTTGGGGTGCTGCGACTGGGGGTGCTGACTCTGGGGGTCATGCGAGTCCTAGTGGCGGTGGAGCTGTGGGTGACCCTGCTGGAGGTCTTGGAGCTGGACAGCCACCGCAGCCTGACCTACTTGAGACGCTCTCGCCGCAGGCAATTCGTGCGTGGATCGTTCGGCGAGGCAGTCCTGGTGGTGGAGGGTACAGTCCTGCTGGTGCTGGAGCTGCTAGTCCTGGAGGTACTGCTAGTGCTGGAGGTACTGGAGGTACTGCTGGAGGTGCTGGAGGTGCTACTGGTGCTGGAGGTACTCGAGGTACAGCTAGTGCTGGAGGTGCTGGGGGTGCTGTTGGTGCTGGAGGTGCTGGAGGTATTGCTGGTGCTGGAGGCGCTGGAGCTAGAGGTAGTGGAGGTACTGGAGGTTCTGGAGCTGCTGGTCCTGGAGGTGCTCGTACTAGAGGTGCTGGAGCTGCCAGAGCAGGTGGTGCTGCTGGTGCTGGAGGTGCTGGAGATGCTACTGGTGCTACTAGCACTGGAGGTGCTGGAGGTACTACTGGTGCTAGAGGTCCAGGCGCTGCCGGAGCTAGTGGTGCTGGAGGTGCTGGAGGTGCTGCTGGAGGTGCTGGTGCTTGAGGTGCTGGTGCTGCTGGTGCTGGAGGAGCTGGAGCTGCTGGTACTGCCCTGCGCAGACCGTTTTTCTACCCGCAGCCGCAGTCGTCCCTGCCGCCGCCTGACTCGGTCCTTCGCCAGGTTCTTAGTCTCCCGTCTTCCACTGGCCTCCCTCTACCCCTCCTGTGTCCACCGACAAACCAGTCTCAGCCACAGCTAGTGCCTGGCTCCCTGCTGCCTGCGCGTGCCCCTCACACTGAGGTGACTAAGTCCCTGACTGAGCGTCGTGAGCCTGAGACTCGTGCTTCCACACCTGTTCGTGCTCGTCGTATCGCCCGTTCTCGTCCTCCTGCTGTCCTAGGCACTCATGGTATGGCACTTCGTCCTTCCTCTTTTCCACAGCGTGTTGTCCTTCCTAAGCCTCCCACGTCCTCTCTTCCGCACGTTCCTGACCTTGAGTCCGACCTTGCTCGTGCTGCCAGTCCTACTGTCACTCGTTTCCTCGCTACTGTCGTCACTGACCCTGACCTTGAGTCTACTGCAGCGTTTGTCTTAGTCACTGATCTAGTCGACTTTGCAGCTAGGAGTCGTCTGGACTACGTCGCGAGTCTTGTCACTGAGTCTGAGTCTGTCTGTCCTCCGTCCGTCGGGGGTGAGCTTACCCTTGGCAGTGACGTACTTGAGGACAGACAATTTGAGCTTGAGTGTCTTGCGGCCGCTTTACCTCGTTTCGCATCCATGCTGCTTTGCCCTGAGGGAGACCCGGATGCACTTGACATCCCTACCCTGCGCTCTTACGCTGAGGCGATCGCGGGTGAGTACTCCTCTCAGTGGCAGACAGCCATGGACGCAGAGATGGCTTCCTGGAAGTCCACAGGCGCCTGCGTCGACGAGGTTCCCCCTCCTGGGGCGAACATAGTCGATGGCATGTGGATTTTCAGGGTGAAGCGGCCACCGGGTTCTCTGCCTGCCTTCAAGGCGCGTTACGTTGCATGAGGCTTCAGCCAGCGTGAGGAGGTCGACTTCTTCCAGACCTTCTCCCCCACCCCGAAGATGACCACTCTTTGGGTGCTACTGCGCGTTGCAACACAACACGACTACGAGCTGCACTCCCTCGACTTCTCGACAACCTTCCTACAGGGCACCCTTCACGAGGCTATCTGGTTGCGCCGTCCACGTGGCTTCACTGGGTCGTTTCCTGAGGGTACCCAGTGGAGTCTTCGGCGACCAGTCTACAGCGTACGACAAGCGCCCCACGAGTGGCACGACACATTGAGGACTACACTTGCGACTCTTGGCTTCGCTCCCTCGATTGCTGACCCTTCGCTGTTTATGCGCACCGACACTTCTCTGCCGCCGTTCTACTTTCTTGTGTACGTTGACGACTTGGTTTTTGCTACTGCTGACACTGAGGCTCTAGCCTTAGTGAAGGCAGAGCTGCATGAGAGACACACCTGCACTGACCTGGGTAAGTTGCGGAGCTATCTTGGCTTGCAGATCACCCGGGACAGAGCACGCCGCACCATCACCCTCACTCAGTCACACATGGTGCAACAGGTCCTTCAGCGCTTCGACTTCTCGTGGTCCTCTCCACAGCCCACTCCTCTGTCTACCGGCCACTCGCTCTCAGCTCCACCTTCGGATGAGTCCGTAGAGCCGAGTGGTCCGTACCCAGAGCTTGTGGGTTGCCTCATGTATCTGATGACGTGCACACGACTTGACCTCGCGTACCCTCTCAGCCTCCTGGCTCGCTACGTGGCTCCCGGTAGACACCGAAAGGTGCACTGGGAAGCTGCGAAGAGGGTGTTGCGTTACTTGTGCAGTACATCGGGCATGGGGCTCGTGCTTGGAGGACAGGGTTCAGTGGTACTCACAGGACACTCCGACGCTTCTTGGGCCGACGACCAGGCGACTAAGCGTTCTTCACAGGGTTACACCTTCAGTCTTGGCTCTGGTTCTGTCTCGTGGAGGTCCACTCGTTCTTCTTCTGTGCTTAGTTCCAACTGTGAGGCCGAGATCTACGCTGGGGCCATGGCTGCACAGGAGCTACGCTGGCTGACCTACCGGCTGACCGACTTGGGGGAGCGGCCTCGTTCTCCTCCACTTCTGTACGTCGACAACAAGGCAGTGCTTGCCTTGTGTCACGAACAGAGACTGGAGCACAGAACGAAGCACATTGCTCTTCGCTACTTCCTTGCGCGTGAGCTGCAGCAGCGTCGTCAGCTCCGCCTTTCCTACGTGGCCTCGCGGGCCAACACTACTGATGTCTTCACCAAGGCCCTTGGGTCTGGTGATCATCAGCGTTTCTGCTCTGCTCTTGGGCTTGTGCCCACTCTGTCTCACCTGCTGGTTGCTTGAATTGCTCTTGTTGTACACTGATATATATCTTTATACCTGCTTGTTTACTCTTGCTAGGTTGTGATCAGTGTACTGCCTTGCTATTATAACTCTGCCTTGTGTCCGCTTGCTTGTGCTCGGATTGTGTGGTGTCCTTGAGATCCACCCTGAGCTTTGTTTTGCTTTTGCTCTGTTGTCTTGTTTGACTAGTCTTGTGATCGTCTTGTTGTCCCCCACTTAGCCTATGGGGGTGTGTCAAAGTACAATCTTACTTGTAGGCTATAGTGGGGCACTCCTTATGGGTACAGCACTTCTAGGGTTAGTGTTGGGCTGAGAATGCCCTTAGGATCTTTGCAGGACAGAATTCAAGAGTAGGATGATGTAGTAGCGGAAGCGTTTAATGAAAGGTTGTGAACCACCTTGCGCTGGTATGTGAGGGCAAAGTAAGTTGATAATAACAAAAGAGATACAAGCTTTTATAAGAATACAAAGGAATATGAAGAGATACAGTTAATAACTGTTTTACTGTTGCTGTTGCGGTTCGATACAGTGTCGACTCGGGCAACTGCTCAGTATCGAGACAGTTGTTTGTCCTTGCTGTCGCGCTGTATTTGTCAGGTCAAAGGTCGCTGACCTTTGACTTTCGCGTAACCTCCAGCAGTTGTTCAACCTCCGAGGGTTGACTCACCGATGTTTCGATACGATCTGCTTCGCTTCTGTCTTGGTGTTTCGACACGACAGAGGCGCTTAAATCAGTTGTTTCCAACAGTTAGTACTTGTACCCCAACTCTTGCTAATCCAATCATTCCTGCACAGTGATTCTGACTGTGGTTACCCAGAGTCGCACACACCGGCACCTGTTGCGGGGGTTCAACCGCAATCGGGCACCTGTCGTGGGGGTTCAACCACGGTGGTTCAAGTTGCGGCACGGTGATGATTGCATTTAGGGTAGAGCGCCCCTCACTGACTACGTTTGTATGCAGTTAAGGGGGGATGTCAAGAATTGTATTCTTTATACCGTATAACTGCATACAGTATAGCTAGTGTAGTATCACTGTAGATTTCTCTCTATTTGGTGGTGTACCTCCTTTGGCCACCTTCCATTGCTATATCTTGTACGTGTGCTATAGTGAAACCCCCTTGTTTCTTGGCCAACTCCCTGTCTCTTCCTAAAACCTAAGTTTCTCCTAAGCCTACTTTCTTGACTCATCCACACTCATTATGAGAAACTCTCTTCAAGATGTGCGAAAAAAATTCGAAGTTGTTTAATAAGTTTCCATTTAGAAGACTTATAAGACACCCAAAACCTCCCCAAATACAAGATAACCCAAGCATTTTTTCTAGTGTACGAGATAAGACATATATGTCTTATATCCGGGCGATGACAGTAGATGACGAGGAGGAGCCAGTAGGTGATGCGATATAATGTTCCTTTAATGAAGATGATGATGATACGGTATGTGCGACTGAGTCCTTGTAATGTCCTCTCCTGTTAGTTATAAATGCTTAACTTAATGGAAAATAGGATTTCGCTTTGTTCAGGCTTTGCTTGAAAGTGAGGCTGATTAGTCAGCCATTTTTTTCACTACTACACTGATATTTCAGCTTGTTTTTTTTAAGCACAATACTGACTGATCAGCCTTCATGCGCCTGCTAAGGCTGACGATTCAGCCTAGGCAAAACGAAATAGGTCAAGTGATGTGTACACGCATGCAAAAGTGCATCTCCTACCACCCACTGATATCACACCGATATCGTTTTCCATATTTGCATCTGTGCCAGTAAATAGAAGCAACATTGCTATGCCGCACCCACGCACAGCCCAGGAACACCGGTAGCAGCACTGGATGTCCCAGAAGTCGAAGCAGAAAGGGTAGATGCAGAAGCAGCAGCTGCAGAAGGAACAGGACCAAAGCTAGGAGTTACCGTGCGAGTCGATGTATGGGAAGGGGGAGTTGTGCCTCGTGTGTGCATGCCACTCCTGGGGGATATTGCTCCTGTCCTTCCAGCTGCTGCTGCCGCTGCCATTGCTTTCTTTGTTGCATTATTGGATCCAGCAGGTGCTGGTGTAGCTGTTGCGTTTGCCACTGATGCACAAAAGGAGTGCTCCACAATTGATCGATCGCTGGAGGTGGAATGAAAGTTGGGGGTTTGGGTAGGGGTGGTGGGAAGAGGGATGGGGGAACAATAATGTTGAACGTAATTTGAAATGCGACTCAAATAACAGGTGTGTGCCACACTCGCACCAGGATACAGATGCAGAAAGAGGGAGAGTTGGGGATCTAGAGTGAACTGAAAGAGAGAGAAAGAGAAGGAGACAGTAAACCTGATGACTCCTGCAAACACAACTCGTATGCCTCGACTGTTGGTTGCGCTATAAATCATACATGATATCGACTTTGAGCTTGCTTGCAAGGATATATTTCTCTGATAGCACCTGTTCCAGGCGGGATGAGACCATTTTTTAGGCGCCTCATTTTGTTTATCTTAGGCGCTTCTAAAATAGCTTTCTAGATTGCTTGCAAGGATACGTACCTCTGATAGTAGCTGTTCCAGGAGGGATGAGACTCAGCAGCAGACGAAACGCCGCACGCAGGTTGTCCCGGAATCCTGTTGTTCTCCTTATAAGCACACTCGTTACCGTCATCGTCCACTACTATGACTCTGCCTAGCCCGGGCCCCAGGCGCTTACTCCCTGCCGCTCTGCTGGCCCTCATTCCCTGCGGACGAGTTGGGTCCGCCACACCAGTGGCAAGGAAGAGAGTCGGGTTGGGAGTGTGGGGGAAGAGAGGGGGGAGAGAGAGAGGAGAGAGGCAGAAGAGAAGGGGAGAAGAGGGGGGAGAGAGAGGGGAGGGGGGGGGGAGAGAGGGGGTGAGAGGGGTGAGAGAGGGGGGTATAAAGGTAAGGGAAAGAGGGGGTTTAGTGAGACGCGAAGAAGACGGGACATGGGATGGAGTTAGACAAGCAGGACGAAACTTCGGCGGCAAGAAATGGCACGAAACAGGGCTATAGCGGCATGCAACATTGCCACAACAGGGGTGGAGCAAGGTGTAATACGGTGGCAGTACTAACCGGGCACGAGCGGGAGTGCGCGTTGAGGTGTCGGCTCAGGCACTTGCTACTGCAGTACACGGCTTGACGACACCTCAAGCACCGCGGAGGGTTGCTCTCCGCAACTCTCTTCTTGCACGACGCGCACGCCTGCCGCTGCTGCTGCCGCTGCCGCTGCTGCTGCTGCTGCTGCTGTTGCGAGTTGCGCTTTAAGATGCATCCAGCGGGTAACCCGCAGAAATAAGCGGAGACGCCGCTTAAGGTGGCGGCTTGGGGACTCCCGGGAGGGCTTACGCTCCATTCCTCTCCGTCTTGCTGCGCCGTCTGCGCCTGCTGCGACGTATGCGACGTATGCGCCTGCTGCTGCTGCTGCTGTTGCTGCTGTTTCATCTCTTGCTGTAGCCCCGGTTGCGCTGTCTGCTGCCTATGCAACTGTATCTGCACTCCATGCCCATGCGCGTTCGCATCCCCGTGCCCATGCGAACGCGGAAACGTCTGCACTTTCCACAGCGCGGGATGCACCTCACATAGACAACCCGGGCTGGCAGCTCCGGCCCATTCCTCCGTGTCAGCTTCGGAGTGGCTCGCAGACGCCGAGGCGGCGGCCACTGCGGGTAAACCACCAGTTATACACCCAGAAACATTTCGGGGGCTAGTAGCCGCAAGGGCAACGCGACAAGAGTGCGTTCTTAAGGCCACTGGGCCTCCCGGGTCAACTGAAGCTGTGAGTACTGCTGCTGCTGCTGCTGCTGCTGCGGCTGTGGCGGCTCCTGCGTCTGCTGCTGCGGCTGCTGATGCTCCTGCCGACGCGCCTCCCAGTAGACCAGCGGAGTGCGCATCGGCGCTAGCTGACATGTCTCGGTGTCCGCCGTTTCCGCCAGTTCCGCGGGTTCCGCCGTCTTCGCAGGTTTCTCCGCTTCCCCTCCCTTCGTCCCTGGACAGACCCTCCGCGCCTTCACTCTCCGCCAAGTCCTCCTCTTCCTCCTCCACTATGGTCCGCGCAATGCTCCCCACAAGCCCGATAGAACATCTCCCCCCGTCTGCGCCAGTCACGGAACCGCGGGGAGGTTTCCGCGTAGCGTTTCCGCTTGCGCTTCCGCTTGCGCCAACCGCGTCCTTTTTGTGCGGGACCCTCCGTTTAGGGGACACGCCGCCCATTCCCGCCAACAGCGCCTCGAGATTCTGTTGCGCGGAAGCTTCCGCCTTCCCGCCTCCGCTTGACGGATCGCCGTCGGCGCGCCGCGGTCGGGGAGAGGACGACGCGGAGGAAGCGGAGAGGTCATATCTGTCGCGGTCGTCACTTGCTGACGCCATCAAGCTGACGTCACTCCCTCCCTCCTCGCTCCTGCTCAAGACTAAGCTGTTGTCGCGAGCGGAAGGAGGAGCCATGGCGAATGGCGCGGCGGAAGAGCAGGACGATGAGAAGGAGCCGTTGACGTCGCACGACTCCTGCGTGTCGTCCGAAAGCGTTTCGGGAAGACTGCTTGCGATGCTGCTGCTGCTGCTGTGACAGCGCGCGAACACAGCGCCGTGATTTCCGTAGCCATTGTTGTTGTAGCCGTTGCGGTATCTGTTAGTAGCGCTGCTGTTGTTGGTGTTGTTGTTGGCGTTGTTGCTGCTGCTGCTGTTGTTGCCGCCGTGGCCGTTGTTGCTGCCGCTGCCGCCGCCATAGACGGTCGTGCGGCTCGTCATGGTGACAACGCGCACCGAACCAGGTTATGCAAAGGGAGGCAGGCCCGCGTCTCGTGCAAACCGGGCAAGGATGAGCGGCGATAGTTGTGATGGGGCAGTAGTGTTAGTGCTAATCCTAGTGTTAGTCCTAGAGCGCTGGTTCTAGCGTAAGTGGGTTCAGATAAAGTTCAGATGCTCGGTTGGCAGTAGGAACATGATGACAATTTGCTATGGGTTCAGATCAGGCCACTTTCTATATCATTTTTGGCATTCTTCATTGCCGCTACTGTGACGATTAGCAAGCGAGGTGAGAGCAAAGCCAAAGCAATAGCTTCTCGTGCTCGGTCTCGGGCGGAACGCTGTGTTCCCTGCTCCCTCGCTTGTCACATAACCAACGGCTTCGGCTGAGGACGAATAAGGAGAGGATGGCTGCGTGGAAAGGCAGGTAGGTGGGTGGTGGTGGTGATGGGTGGTGGTGGAGGCAAAGGTCATTTGTGACTGGTTGTTGCGGTCGGCATTTTTCAAATCAAACAGCGCACATCGCAGCCAGATGCAGCGTCAGAGTCAAGCATTAGCTGTCAGATTGAATCGCGACTTGCCGTGCACATTCCATCAATCTGTCGTCGGACCGCGCCCATCCAAACCCTCTCCCCAGCAAGCCACGCATTGGCGGTTCCAGTGAGTGAGGGTGCCCAACCCGACCGTTCCGCAATTTTGAAATTGGTCACGCTCGGTGACCTGATCGACTCTATCCCCTTTCCAGTCCACCCGTGTCCCGTTGAGGCTACAAATTCCTCAGGTTTTCCCCTCCTCGTCATGATTATTTGTGGGATGGAAGATATGCTGTGTTTTGTACAGTTGGGGTGGGGACCTCAAAGGGACTGTATTCAACTGCACCAGGAAGTGTTTGGTGATGGAGGTGCCGCTATTTCCGTAAGTACTTCCACTTGTTCTACCCAGTCCTAGTGAGAGCTGTCGCCGTAAATTTGCTCGAACATTTGATGGCAGCTCTGCACCGAAATTCTCGCTGGCTTCCCTTTCCACCTGTTGTACTCGTTATCAGCATCTGAAGGATTAATTAACAGATGGCAGCCAACTGGTGGTGAATTACGTTGGAGCTAAAGCTGAAGAGAAGCTCCCCAGCAAAAGCCAAGCATGAAGAATTTTGTTAAAAATATACACCAGGTATGCATCTATTTACAGCGCACAGTATTCATAGTATGGATGTTGGGCATACATTATTGAGGTATAATTTGTGATATGGTACTCTAGAGACACAACTGGAATCTTGCATGAGTCCAGCAGGACATTTTGTTATATATATTTTTTCTCCCCACGTGGTCTGTTTCTGTGAACTGTTGTTGTAAAAGTGTAGCATCGGTATGCAATTGTGGGGAATTTTCTAAAATGACCATTCCGTATCCTTTGTGATGCGTGCGGTGTTAAAGCTCGCGTCTCATATTTTTTCGTTCCAACCAAGTGTTAAACGCTTGGGATCCGGTAACAGCCTGTTTTGTCGCATAACACCCCCAAGCAAGGGTTAGGTTTGGGAAGGTTGTTTGGGTGTGGGTCGGCCCCGCAAACCAAATGTACAGTACAAACAACGTGGGGTGACTCAGTGTATGGTTTCGCCAAACCAGGCTGGGAGACACACCTGCGCGACGAAACCACAGGCTGCGACAACAGAGTGTCGCACTCTCCCGTGTGCAGACCAAGCATTTTACAGGGGTCGGAAATATGAGACACCCAACTCTACCATTCTCACAAGGAGCGTAGTTCCTGCACCCGTTCAAGTGTTTTACGCTTTACTATCGCGTGTCCTAGCGTATACTATCACAGAGAAGTCCTCATAGGTCATTCACCAAGAACCTCATTATGCACTTAGACAACCCACTTCTTTGAGTCCCGCTCCACATCACTTCGTTTACATTCTGCATCGTGATACCCCATTCCGGGTTGCCTCGCACTCCTCCCCTGCCTTTAGTAGGTGAGCTCGACGGATTTGCGGTTTTATTCCATGCGGAATTAGTGGCGGAATGGTGGTATATGGCGGAATTAGTGGCGGAATGGCGGTGGATGGCGGAATTTTTGGCGGAATGGCGGTAGATGGCGGAATTAGTGGCGGAATGGCGGTGGATGGCGGAATTATTGGCGGAATGGCGGTAGATGGCGGAATTAGTGGCGGAATGGCGGTAGATGGCGGAATTAGTGGCGGAATGGCGTTAGATGGCGGTTAGAGAGGCGAAATGATGGGCGGAATGAGACGCGGAATGGTGGAAGTTGGCGGGGAGGCGGAATGGTGGTAGATGGCGGAATAAGAGGCGAAATGGTGGTAAATGGCGGAATGAGAGGCGCAATGGTGGAAAATGGCGGAATGAGAGGCGAAATGATGGAAAATGGCGGAATGAGAGGGAATGGGGGAGGGATGTGAGGTCAGACGGGGGAATGGAGGTGCCATGATAGGGTGTGTGTGTTGTGGGAGGGGGAAGGGAGGTGAGTTCAGAGGGGGGGGGGGGGGATGTGTTGAGATAAGGGAAACGGATGTGATGTGAGAGGGGGAAAAAATGTGCTTAGGGAGGGGGAAGAGAGGAGAGGTCAGACGGTGAAGGTAGGTGAGGGGAGTTGGAAAGGTGTGTGAGTTCGGAGGAGGAAGAGAGGTTCTTAGTTAGGGGGGATGGAGGTGCTAGCAGGGGGGAAATAAGTGATGTGAGATGGGGAAGAGAGGTGCTTAGGGAGTGGAAAGGGAGGTGAGGTCAGAGGTGGTTGGGAGGTGAGATGAGAGGGGGAAGGGAGGTGCTGTGATAAGGGGGAGGTAGGTGAGCAGGGAGGGGGAAGAATGCCTTTTGCTCCCCATGAATGCCCTTTTGCTCCCCAAGAATGCCTTTTGCTCCCCAAATTTACCCCTTTTGCTCCCCATGAATGCCCTTTTGCTCCCCAAGAATGCCTTTTGCTCCCCAAATTTTCCCCTTTTGCTCCCCATGAATGCCCCCAGTGCTTTCCATACTTTCCCCTTCTGCTCCGCATCAGTTCCCCCTCTCCTTCCCCTCTCCTCGCTGCTCCGTTCCTCTCCTCGCTGCTCCGTTCCTCTCCTCGCTGCTCCGTTCCTCTCCTCGCTGCTCCGTTCCTCTCCTCGCTGCTCCGTTCCTCTCCTCGCTGCTCCGTTCCTCTCCTCGCTGCTCCGTTCCTCTCCTCGCTGCTCCGTTCCTTTCCTCGCTGCTCCGTTCCTTTCCTCGCTGCTCCGTTCCTTTCCTCGCTGCCCCGTTCCTCTCCTCGCTGCTCCGTTCCTTTCCTCGCTGCTCCGTTCCTCTCCTCGCTGCTCCGTTCCTTTCCTCGCTGCTCCGTTCCTCTCCTCGCTGCTCCGTTCCTCTCCTCGCTGCTCCGTTCCTTTCCTCGCTGCTCCGTTCCTCTCCTCGCTGCTCCGTTCCTCTCCTCGCTGCTCCGTTCCTCTCCTCGCTGCTCCGTTCCTTTCCTCGCTGCTCCGTTCCTCTCCTCGCTGCTCCGTTCCTCTCCTCGCTGCTCCGTTCCTCTCCTCGCTGCTCCGTTCCTCGCTCACCTCGTAGCACGCAGCAATCCCACCCGTTCCGCAGTCACTGTCGTCCCGCATTCTCACCCGTTGCTCTCGCACCCTCCTCACGCGAGAACGATGCCACCGCGCTTTCTCGCTCCCTCAATCAATCCCGTCCCTCTCTCACTTCCGTCCTTCTCTCACACCCGTCCCTCTCTCACACCCGTCCCTCTCTCACACCCATCCCTCTCTCACACCCGTCCCTCTCTCACACCCTTCTCCCTCCCTCCCTTTCCCCTTCTCCTTCCCTCCGTTTTCCCCCTTGTTCTGGCCCTCTGTGGGCGGCAGCAGCAGCCTTCAAGGAAGTGGTGGCATACCACACACCTCCGACACAGAAGCAGCAGTGGGCGCCAACAGGGGGGATTGCCATAGTCAATGCTGTAGTTGTCACCCTTCTCACTCACACACCCTGCTCACTCACACTCCCTGCTCACTCACCCACCCTGCAGTGCTGGTGAGTGCAGTGCTGGTGAGTGCTGTGCTGGTGAGTGCAGTGCTGGTGAGTGCAGTGCTGGTGAGTGCAGTGCTGGTGAGTGCTGTGCTGGTGAGTGCTGTGCTGGTGAGTGCAGTGCTGGTGAGTGCAGTGCTGGTGAGTGCAGTGCTGGTGAGTGCAGTGCTGGTGAGTGCTGTGCTGGTGAGTGCAGTGCTGGTGAGTGCAGTGCTGGTGAGTGCTGTGCTGGTGAGTGCAGTGCTGGTGAGTGCTGTGCTGGTGAGTGCTGTGCTGGTGAGTGCAGTGCTGGTGAGTGCAGTGCTGGTGAGTGCAGTGCTGGTGAGTGCAGTGCTGGTGAGTGCAGTGCTGGTGAGTGCTGTGCTGGTGAGTGCAGTGCTGGTGAGTGCAGTGCTGGTGAGTGCTGTGCTGGTGGTGCTGGTGAGTGCTGTGCTGGTGAGTGCAGTGCTGGTGAGTGCTGTGCTGGTGAGTGCTGTGCTGGTGAGTGCAGTGCTGGTGAGTGCAGTGCTGGTGAGTACTGTGCTGGTGAGTGCTGTGCTGGTGAGTGCAGTGCTGGTGAGTGCAGTGCTGGTGAGTGCAGTGCTGGTGAGTGCTGTGCTGGTGAGTGCTGTGCTGGTGAGTGCTGTGCTGGTGAGTGCAGTGCTGGTGAGTGCAGTGCTGGTGAGTGCAGTGCTGGTGAGTGCAGTGCTGGTGAGTGCTGTGCTGGTGAGTGCAGTGCTGGTGAGTGCAGTGCTGGTGAGTGCTGTGCTGGTGAGTGCAGTGCTGGTGAGTGCAGTGCTGGTGAGTGCTGTGCTGGTGAGTGCAGTGCTGGTGAGTGCAGTGCTGGTGAGTGCAGTGCTGGTGAGTGCTGTGCTGGTGAGTGCTGTGCTGGTGAGTGCAGTGCTGGTGAGTGCAGTGCTGGTGAGTGCAGTGCTGGTGAGTGCTGTGCTGGTGAGTGCAGTGCTGGTGAGTGCTGTGCTGGTGAGTGCAGTGCTGGTGAGTGCTGTGCTGGTGAGTGCTGTGCTGGTGAGTGCAGTGCTGGTGAGTGCAGCGCTGGTGAGTGCAGTGCTGGTGAGTGCTGTGCTGGTGAGTGCTGTGCTGGTGAGTGCAGTGCTGGTGAGTGCAGTGCTGGTGAGTGCAGTGCTGGTGAGTGCAGTGCTGGTGAGTGCAGTGCTGGTGAGTGCAGTGCTGGTGAGTGCAGTGCTGGTGAGTGCAGTGCTGGTGAGTGCTGTGCTGGTGAGTGCAGTGCTGGTGAGTGCAGTGCTGGTGAGTGCAGTGCTGGTGAGTGCAGTGCTGGTGAGTGCAGTGCTGGTGAGTGCAGTGCTGGTGAGTGCTGTGCTGGTGAGTGCTGTGCTGGTGAGTGCAGTGCTGGTGAGTGCAGTGCTGGTGAGTGCAGTGCTGGTGAGTGCTGTGCTGGTGAGTGCAGTGCTGGTGAGTGCAGTGCTGGTGAGTGCAGTGCTGGTGAGTGCTGTGCTGGTGAGTGCTGTGCTGGTGAGTGCAGTGCTGGTGAGTGCTGTGCTGGTGAGTGCAGTGCTGGTGAGTGCTGTGCTGGTGAGTGCTGTCGTGTTCTTCTCCCCCGCCGTTCCTCCCTTCATCAGTTCCTCCCTCTTTTCCACCCTTCCTCTTTTCATCCCTTCTTCTGTTCCTCTTCAACTGTATGCATAAATCGAGGGACCTTGCGTTATCATTTCCCGTGTTGGCTGCTTGTCCTTCTCATTATCTTGTATACTTCCCTGCTGCACAGCCATGTCACATCTTATTTCCTGGTTTGTGTTTGTATACATGTCTGCTATGCATCTGGTTGTGGTGATGTGTTGACTGTTTGAGAGTGCTACAATGATTGGCCATGCCGTATATTGATGTTGGATGCTTTGTTATAATACAAACACTTTGCTCAGAAGCAGCCATGCACATGACCACTACAAAGGAAGTACTTGGCAACTGACTAATGTCACCAAGAAGACAGCTAGAAATGTAATGTTTTTGGGCCACTCTTGGCTGCTACACTGCATGCAATAAACCCTGGGCCATGGTGCTGGGACCTGTACCCTGCGCGGCTGGAAATGGGGGTGAGTGAAAGGGGGAACAGACTGAGTAGCGGAAATTAGAGTGAACAGGAAGAAACAAAGCGAGCCGGGGGGAAGTGAAGGAGCAGGGGAAACAGAGTGAGCCGGGGGGAAGAGAATGAGCAGGGGAAACAGAGTGAGCCGGGGGGAAGAGAATGAGCAGGCCAAACAGAGTGAGCCGGGGGAAAGAGAATGAGCAGGCCAAACAGAGTGAGCCGAGGGGAAGAGAATGAGCAGGGGAAACAGAGTCAGCCAGAGAGATCAAGGTGTGTGAGGGAGAGTGGTGAGGAGCTAACGTACCGTGTGGGGAAGGGAGTGGGCGAGGTGTAACAGAAGGGCGTCAGGGACAGCAGCAGTAGAGGGGTCGAGGTGAGGTGAGTGAGGAAGGCGAGGAGGTGAGGAGGGAAGAGGGAGGAGGGAGGAGCGATTGAGGCACCAGAGAGAACCAGATGAGTGAGGGGGAAGGAGGAAGAGGAGGAGGAGTGAGAGGAGGAAGGAGAGGAGGCGGAGGGAGAGGATGAGGAGGAGGGGAGAGGGAAGCCAATGGAAAGCAGGGGGCAGTGGGAGAGGTGGAGGGCGGTGAGGGAGGGGTGGGCGGGGAGGTGGGAGAGGGCAGTCCAGGCGAGGTTGGCGGAGAGCAGGCGGGGGAAGGCGAGGAGCAGCGAGGCAGAGGCGCTGGTGATGCTGCTGCCCCACACTGACAGATGGCGCAAGTGAACGAGCGACTGCAGGGGAAGGGGGAGAGGCGGGGGTGGAAAGAGGATGGTGGGAGTGGGGGAAAGGGAGCAGCGGCGCAGAGGCGTTGGTGATGCTGCTGCCCCACACTGACAGATGGCGCAAGTGAACGAGCGACTGCAGGCGAAGGGGGAGAGGCGGGGGTGGAAAGAGGATGGTGGGAGTGGGGGAAAAGGGAGCAGCGGCGCAGAGGCGTTGGTGATGCTGCTGCCCCACACTGACAGATGGTGCAAGTGAACGAGCGACTGCAGGGGAAGGGGGAGAGGCGGGGGTGGAAAGAGGATGGTGGGAGTGGGGGAAAGGGAGCAGCGGCGCAGAGGCGTTGGTGATGCTGCTGCCCCACACTGACAGATGGCGCAAGTGAACGAGCGACTGCAGGCGAAGGGGGAGAGGCGGGGGTGGAAAGAGGATGGTGGGAGTGGGGGAAAAGGGAGCAGCGGCGCAGAGGCGTTGGTGATGCTGCTGCCCCACACTGACAGATGGCGCAAGTGAACGAGCGACTGCAGGGGAAGGGGGAGAGGCGGGGGTGGAAAGAGGATGGTGGGAGTGGGGGAAAAGGGAGCAGCGGCGCAGAGGCGTTGGTGATGCTGCTGCCCCACACTGACAGATGGCGCAAGTGAACGAGCGACTGCAGGGGAAGGGGGAGAGGCGGGGGTGGAAAGAGGATGGTGGGAGTGGGGGAAGGGGAGCAGCGGCGCAGAGGCGTTGGTGATGCTGCTGCCCCACACTGACAGATGGCGCAAGTGAACGAGCGACTGCAGGCGAAGGGGGAGAGGCGGGGGTGGAAAGAGGATGGTGGGAGTGGGGGAAAAGGGAGCAGCGGCGCAGAGGCGTTGGTGATGCTGCTGCCCCACACTGACAGATGGCGCAAGTGAACCAGCAACTGCAGGGGAAGAGTGGGTGGGGGTTTGGGGGGGAGAGGGGGAAGAGGAAGGCAAGGAGGTGAGAGGAGGAGGCGTTGGTGGTGCTGCTGCCCCACGCTGACAGATGGCGCAAGTGGACTAGCGATGGGCGGGGGAAGCGAGGGCGACGGGAGGGGGAAGCAAGGGCGACGGGAGGGGGAAGCAAGGGCGATGGGAGGGGGAAGCGATGGCGATGGGAGGGGGAAGCGAGGGCAAAGGGAGGGGGAAGCGAGGGCGACGGGAGGGGGAAGCGAGGGCGATGGGAGGGGGAAGCGAGGGCGATGGGAGGGGGAAGCGAGGGCGATGGGAGGGGGAAGCGAGGGCGATGGGAGGGGGAAGCGAGGGCGATGGGAGGGGGAAGCGAGGGCGACGGGAGGGGGAAGCGATGGCGATGGGAGGGGGTAGCGAGGGCAAAGGGAGGGGAGAGGAGGCCGCGCGGAGAGGCGAGAGGAGGCCGCGCGGGGAGGCGAGAGGAGGCCGCGCGGAGAGGCGAGAGGAGGCCGCGCGGAGAGGCGAGAGGAGGCCGCGCGGAGTGGCGAGAGGAGGCGAGAGGAGGCCGCGCGGAGAGGCGAGAGGAGGCCGCGCGGGGAGGCGAGAGGAGACGGCGCGGGGAGGCGAGAGGAGGCCGCGCGGAGAGGTGAGAGGAGGCCGCGCGGAGAGGCGAGAGGAGGCCGCGCGGAGAGACGAGAGGAGGCCGCGCGGAGAGGCGAGAGGAGGCCGCGCGGAGAGGCGAGAGGAGGCTACGCGGAAAGGCGAGAGGATGCGGGAAGGGGATATCGGGCGGCAGGAAGGGGAGATCGGGCCGCGGGAAGGGGAGATCGGGCGGCGAGCACGGGAGATTGGGCGGCGAACAGGGGAGACGGGTGGCGGGAAGCGGCGATAGGGTGGCGGGAATGTGACGGCTATAACCTAATCACGGGCATACGCAAGAGGGTGCGCTACTGCTGCTCCCCACAGTTACATGTTTCACTTTCTTCACGCCTTTGGACAGAAGATTGCTTACTAATGCAGTGGTATTGTTATGACTACGTGTAAGGATGTATAGCCGGAGTGCGCGTGATGGCACTTCGTTTTTCCCTGCCACTTCTCTCCCTTGCACAATCGGTGTTTCCGTCGTCAGGATTGGTCGCACAAAGTACAGTACACTCACGCCAAACCTGTCCTACAAGGTGCGGACGTGATCCAAACCTGCCCCTGAGGTGTGGTTTTGGCCTCAGTTCTTCACAACTTCGCCCATATATTTCCTCCGCTCGTGAAAAAATTCGTCACTCGTGAACCAATCATGTTCGTAGTTTCCCAACCAAGTGTTAAACGTTTGTAAATATGAGACGTACCAGGTCTTTTACACAAGCTAAGGTGACACAACAGGTAGGTAGTTCTGGAGGACCTTCAACGGTCGCTATTTTCCGCGAAAGCATGGAGCGGCTCTTTTCTAGGAGCCCTCTGAACAAGCCTCACGACAAAAGGTCCGCGAAGCTCGTTACCGTCAGGCGAATCGCCAGATACGTGCTCCTCGCGTCGCTCGTTCTCTTCGCCGGCCTGACCGTCGCACGCTTTGCGTCGCCTAGATTGCTACAAGTCGCACGGATTGCGAAGGCGAAGGAATTATCGTACGAACCGGATGCGGAGCAGAAAGGCGAACAAGGAAATGAACCCCGTGGGCGAATCGCGTTCATGTTCTTGACACGTGGCCCGCTCCCACTCGCTCCTCTATGGGAGAGATTTTTCAGGGTGAGTCGTATAAGGAAGATGGTGAACTCGACTGCCTAATACTCCGAAGTCTAGCCGATTTCTAAGAGTTAGTCGTTTGCAATCAATGGCGGTCCGCTGTCACCCCGACTCGATCCCTCACATCTCCCATTCTTCCTTGCCCGTGATACCCTTGGAAAAAGGGACCAGTTAATGTGAAAGCCTTCATGCTCCCCCTCCCTCTGCATCCCCCCTCTCCCCTCCTCTGCCCCCCCTTCAACCTCCAAGACCTCCCCCCCTTCAGCAGCAGAATCCCCCAACACCTTCTCCCCTTCCACCCCTGACCCTCCTCTTTCCCCTCTACCCTCCCCGCCCCCCTTCATCCCCCTCTCCCCGCGTCCCCCTTCCCTCTCCCCACTCCGAGCTCCACTCCCCCCCCCCCCTCCCCCTCCCCCCCCCACTCCTCTTTTTGATACGATTTCTTTCTTATAATCCCATTCCCATGCTGTTTTCCCGTCCCATGCATTCCCGTGGCCCCGTCCTGTTATAGCTGAGCCATGGCGGGAAGGCAAAGCCTGCCCGTCGCCATGGGCCCATGACTAGCGGGAACATGTCATGTCCTGTCATGTCATGTCATGTCCTGTCATGTCATGTCCTGTCATGTCCTGTCCTGTCATGTCATGTCCTCTCATGTCATGTCCTGTCATGTCATGTCCTGTCATGTCATGTCATGTCATGTCCTGTCATGTCATGTCATGTCCTGTCATGTCATGTCCTGTCATGTCATGTCCTGTCATGTCATGTCCTGTCCTGTCCTGTCATGTCCTGTCATGTCATGTCATGTCCTGTCATGCAAGGTTCAAAAATACGGTAACTGTAAATTACGGCTCGTAAATTACGGTCGTAATTTACGGTGGTTTTGGCAAAAATACGGTCGTTTTTTTAATGGACTTTTTTTGCGGCAGTTTTTTTTTTCAGAAACTTCAAGAATGCTTGCAACTATGACTAGGAAGACGACAACAAACTACACTACAGAGAAACAAGCCTATAATGGACCACTACACCACTACCATTGCTAAGCCTACCTAGTAGTACCTACCTTTAGGCTAAATCTGCTCCTACTCCATCCCCAGACTATGCGGGAAAAAATCACACTCGCGTGGATTTGGGTGCACGAAATTTCTCACAAGCAGGGTGACGGTTGGGAAATGTCGAAATTCGCTAGACATAAACTCGGTTTCAAAATTTCGGTCGTAATTTACGACCGTATTTTTGAACCAACCCAATTTTGCAAGGTCGAACCGTTTTTTACCGTAATTTACGACCGTAAATTACGATACCGTAATTTACGGTAAATTTTCAAAAATACGGTCGTATTTTTGAACCTTGCTGTCATGTCATGTCATGTCATGTCCTGTCATGTCATGTCCTGTCATGTCATGTCCTGTCCTGTCATGTCCTGTCCTGTCATGTCATGTCCTGTCATGTCCTGCCCTGTCCTGTCAGCCCCCACGTCACCGTGGGATGACGTTTGAGTCAAAAGTCATCCCTAAACGCAAAGCCTGCCGCCCATCGCCGTGACCTGGGGGGGCTTGTCCTGTCTGCCCCCATGTCCCTGTGGGATGACTTTTTTGAGTCGGCTCAAAAGGCAAAGCCTGCCCGTCACCATGGGCCCATCCCATGACCAGCGGGAGCATGTCCTGTCCATTTAGACGTCTCAAAAGGAGCATGTCCTGTCCATTTAGACGTCTCAAAAGGAGCATGTCCTGTCTTTTTAGACGTCTCAAAAGGAGCATGTCCTGTCTTTTTAGACGTCTCAAAAGGAGCATGTCCTGTCTTTTTAGACGTCTCAAAAGGAGCTTGTCCTCTATTCCCCCATGTCGCCGTGGGATGCGCAGCGCATGGGGAGGAGGACAGACAGACAGACAGACAGACAGACAGACAGACAGACAGACAGACAGACAGACAGACAGACAGACAGGACACATGCCCACGTCTCCCTAAGCCCTCGTGCTTGTCCCTCACGGTGCTGCCGTGCTGTGCCGTGCGTGCATCCCAAGGGCCGTTTTCGTACAATGAACGAGGTGCCGTGCGTGCAGTGCACAGGGAGGACTGACAGACAGGCAGGCAGACAGACAGACAGACAGACAGACAGACAGACAGACAGACAGACAGACAGACAGACAGACAGACAGACAGACAGACAGACAGACAGACAGACAGACAGACAGACAGACAGACAGACAGACAGACAGACACAGGCCCATGTCTCCCCACCCTTGTGCTTGTCCCTCCCCGTGCTGCCGTGCAGTGCGTGCATCTTCCCATGGGCTGTTCTCGTACAATGAATGAGGTGCCTGAGAAAAAGCGTGGCGAGGTGCTAGAAGAAGAGAGAATCACGTGGCTTGCTTGCCGTGCCGTGCCTTCCCCCTTGCGCCGCACCGCACCGCACCGCACCCACCCACCCCACGCAACAATGCACCGAGAGGGCCGTATTATCTGAGGCGCCCGAGGCTCCCTGAGAAGAAAATAAGACGAGTTTTGAGTCGACTGAAAAGAAAACTCATCTTCCAAGGCACCACCTTGGGTGTGCAGTGCAGTGGAGAATTGCAGTGGCAGGCACCACACCAAGCAGGCGCTGCTTCTTGGCTACTGACTATTATGACTCTCCTTGATGGTACAATTATGACTTTTTGAGAATTCTCAAAAGTACCATCAACGTAGCTGACTACTGACAATTATGACTCAGAGGTGCCATGCCATGCCATGGCATGTTGGTTCTGAGAGAGTCGACTTATGGGCTTATGCCAAGCCACCTTGTCTTCCCTTGTGCTGCATCTCTCCCCATACATGCACACGCACACATATATACATGAATGCATGCATGCATGCAGGGAGCACGTGGGCGCTTCAGCATCTACATCCACGCCTCCAATGCTTCTCTCACCCCCTTTCCTTCAACGCTTCCTCGCCTCTTCAGACACAGATTCATCCCTGCGTCCCCTGTAAGCCATGCTCTAGATGTGCGTTTCGAGTCTCCTGAAAAGTTCTTCCCTGCATCTTTCAGTCACAGGATGATTCATGCGTCCCCTGTAAGCCTTGCTCGCACACCCATTCTCTCACAGCTATCCTCGCACACCCATTCTCTCACAGCTATCCTCTCACACCCATTCTCTCACAGCTATCCTCTCACACCCATTCTCTCACGCCTATCCCCTCACGCCTATCCCCTCGCGCCTATCCCCTCACGCCTATCCCCTCACGCCTATCCCCTCACGCCTATCCCCTCACGCCTATCCCCTCTCGCCTATCCCCTCACGCCTATCCCCTCACACCCATCCTCAATTAATATCCTCTCACACCCTGCTGCTGCTGTTGGCACACTCCCTTGTAATCCATGGCAGTTCCCGCGCCCGCACCTGATGCTCCCTGCATGCAGGTGGTGTGGGGAGACATGTCCATGGTGACAGCAGAGCGCAAGCTGCTGGCGTAACCCGCCCCATATGCATCCCATTTTTCTACCTCTCCTCCCCATCTCCCGCCCGCGCCCAATGCGTCCCTGCAGGTGGTGTGGGGAGACATGTCCATGGTGACAGCAGAGCGCAAGCTGCTGGCGTACGCACTTACAGACCCCCGAAACCACTACTTCGCCCTCGTCTCAGAAATGTAACCTACTCACTCACTCACTCACTCACTCACTCACTCACTCACCTCACCACCTCACTCACACACTCATTTCTCACCTCAACCACCACACATTCGCTTGAGCCTGCCTTGCCTTTTCCACTAGCCCCTGGCCCCCTCCCTTTTGCCCCTTCCCGCTTTCCATGCCCACCTCCCCTTCCCCCTTCCCCTGTTCCACCCTCCCCTTGCCCCTTGCCCTAACCCCTTGCTCCGTGCCGTGTGCCTGCCAGGTGCATTCCTCTGTGGCCTTTCGACTACATCCATGCCTACATCTCAACAGCCTTCTGAGGCGCCTCAGAAGTTAACCCTTGCGCCTTGCCCCTTACCCCGTGCGCCTTGCGCCTTGCCCCTTACCCCGTGCTCCTTGCTGTGTGCCTGCCAGGTGCATTCCTCTGTGGCCTTTCGACTACATCCATGCCTACATCTCCACCGCCCAAGTCAGCCTAGTCGAGGCGTGAGTGCTTCACCCCAATTTTCCTGCTGTCTGTCTCCCTCCTAACCGCCCTCCTCCTCACCTCACTCCCACCGATTCCCCAACACCTACTCACTGCCACTCCTTCCCTCCCCACACCGCACCGGATTACACCTTCCTTTCCTATTCCCTCTTTCATCTGACCGATGACCTTTCCCCCCTCCCCTCCCCTCCCCTCCCTTCCCTTCCCCTCCCCTCCCCTCCCCTTCCTGCAAGATTGGCACCCTTCTCCCCTCCCTGCCCATTCTCTCCTTTTGTTTGTTCTTGTTGCGGCACATCTCAAGTTTTTACTCTGAGTTACCTCCCTCCCCTCCTCCCTCCCTCCCGCCCGCCCGCTATCCCTCTCGTCCCCTCCCCCAATCTCTCAGTCCACCAGGGACCATGACCAGTAGGGAGGGAGAGGAGGGGGCAGAGCCCTTGCGCCATGAGGGGGCCTTGTCCCCTCCACAGAGCCATTTCGCCACTTCCAGTTCTGGTAGCTTCCCCTCCTCTCCCTCCCTCCCTCCTCCCTCCCCTTGCCCCCTCCTCCATCGCCCTGCCTGTGCCAGGGACCATGACCAGTACGGCTTGGCCTTTCGGCACTACGAGTATTGAAGTGCCTCTCTCCCCCTTTCTTCACATCCTCTTCCTCCGTTGCCGGCTCAATCAGGGACCATGACCGGTACGGCTTGGCCTTTCGGCACTACGAGTATTGAAGTGCCTCTCTCCCCCTTTCTTCACACCCTCTTCCTCCGCTGCCGCCTCAATCAGGGACCATGACCAGTACGGCTTGGCCTTTCGGCACTACGAGTATTGAAGTGCCTCTCTCCCCCTTTCTTCACACCATCTTCCTCCGTTGCCGCCTCAATCAGGGACCGTGACCAGTACGGCTTGGCCTTTCGGCACTGCGAGTATTGAAGTGCCTCTCTCCCCCTTTCTTCACACCCTCTTCCTCCGTTGCCGCCTCAATCAGGGACCATGACCAGTACGGCTTGGCCTTTCGGCACTGCGAGTATTGAAGTGCCTCTCTCCCCCTTTCTTCACACTCTCTTCCTCCGTTGCCGCCTCAATCAGGGACCATGACTGGTACGGCTTGGCCTTTCGGCACTACGAGTATTGAAGTGCCTCTCTCCCCCTTTCTTCACACCCTCTTCCTCCGTCGCCGCCTCAATCAGGGACCATGACCGGTACGGCTTGGCCTTTCGGCACTACGAGAGGCACATCTTCTACCCGGATATCAAGAGAGAGCACTACGTGGGGGGCAGCCAGGTGCGCTGGCTCCCTCCCAACTGAGAGCGTTTCATACTCATCTCACCGCAACAGCGCAACCCGCCACACTTACCTACTTACCGCACCGCACCTCACCTCACCTCACTAAGGGCTGCACGTTCTTCTGGAAAGAGAGGCACATATTTTACCCGGATATCAAGAGAGAGCACTACGTGGGGGGCAGCCAGGTGCGCTCTCAGCAAAGCATGCTCCATCCCCACCTCACCTCACCTCACCTCACCTCACCTCACCTCACCTCACCTCACCTCACCTCATCTCACTAGTAGGGCCACATTCTTATGCAGTGAGTGAGGCATTCTTATGAGTTCATATGTTCACAAAGTGAGGCATATGTTCTACACGGACTTTGTGAGAGTTGTTTTCCGACCCACCTGCATGAGAGTTGTTTTCCGGCCCACCTGTATGTATGAGAGTTATTGGCAGTTAGGTAGTTCTGGTGGACCCACCCACCCACATGCACGGACAATTGTAGAACGATAACTAGGCGACTTCTGAGTCGACTCAAAAGTCATCTGGTGGACCCACCCACCCACATGCACGGACTATTGCAGAACGACAACATTTTAGCTCACCGAAAGTCAACTCGCTACGCTTCATCACCCGCCCACCCACCCCGCTTCCCAAATGCATGCATGCATTCATGCATGTGGATTGATGAATGCATGCATGGGGATGGACGGATGGCTGCATGCATGCATGCATGCATGTGGATGAATGAATGGCAGTGGTTCGTGCTGCAGAGGAAGCACGCGAGGCTAGTGACCCAGGACACCACGCACTACCGCCGCCACACGGATAGCTGCAAGGTACACTCTTCCATTTTTTAGGCTTCTCAAAAGGCGTTCTTCCATTCTCCCATGCATGCACGCGTGCATACATTTGAGAGGGGGGAGTGGAGTGCGTTGCGAGCCTAGTGACCCAAGACACCACGCACTACCGCCGCCACACGGACAGCTGCAAGGTGCGCTCTTCTGTCCTCCCCAACTCCAAGCACTCTCATTGACCATGCGTATGCATGCCTTTGAGAGGGAGGGAGTGGGGAGGAGGGGGGGGTTCGAGCCTGGTGATCCAGGACGCTTTTGAGTCGACTCAAAAGGAGGAGGAGGGGGAGGGGGAGGGGGAGGGTCGAGCCTGGTGATCCAGGACACCACGCACGGCACGATCGCTGCTATAAGGACAGCTGCAAGGTCCGCTCTTCCATTCTTTAGGCATCTCAAACTCAAAAGACGCACTCGCATATGCTCCAAGCACTGCCATTGGCATTGGCATGCATCCATGCATACATATGAGAGAAGGGGGGGTTGCAAGCGACTTTTGAGTCGACTCAAAAGTCACCGGGCTGCAGCCTGGTGATCCAGGAGACCACGCACTATCGCCGCCACAAGGACAGCTGCACGGTATGCTCTTCCATCCGCTCAGAGCACTGCCATTGATATGCATGCATGCATACATTTGAGAGAGGGCAGGGGAGTGGGTTGCGAGCAAGCCTGGTAATCCAGAACACCACCCACGCACTCTTTTATCTTCCTATGGCTAAGCCTCTCTTCTCCTTCTGCACATGCCCCACCCACCCACGCACGCACTCTTTTATCTTCCTTTTATTTGCCAGTCTCCGCCCTTTCCCCCTTTGGTCTCTCTCTGATATAGTTTCTCTCTTATCTTCCCCCTCTCTTTCCCCTCCCATCTCTCCTCTCTCCTATCTCCTCCCTCCTCTCTCCATTCTCCTCCCTCTTCCATCATTTCTCCTCTCTCCTCTCTCTGTTCTCCTCTTTCCAATCTCATCGCCCTCCCACCTCCTTCTCTCACTCACCCCCTTCTTCCCCCCCTCCCCCCACACCAGCTCTGCACGAGGACACCTAGCAGGTTATGCTGTGCGGATAACCGCCGTCTGCAAATTCTGAATCGCCATAAAAGCCATCTCTATGCCCAGCCCTCCCACCCACACCCATTTTCACCCCACTCTTCTCCCACCCACTCTTCTCCCCGCTCTTCTCACCCTACCCCACCCACGCCAGTTCCGCATGCGCACAGGCAGCAGGTTCTGCTGTGCCGACGAGCACTATGTGCAAATACTCCTACATGTGAGCCCCCCCTCTCCCCCTTCCCTTTCCTGTCCCCCCACATCCCCATCCCTCGCTGCTTCTCCCCTTAAGCCTCAACGGCAGCATCGTCAACCCCTCCCTCCTTTATTGCACCCAGAACCTAAACCTTCAACCGCAAAGCATGAACCCTAAACTCCACACCCCTGACCCACTGTCTCTGGACCTTAATTTCTGAGTTTTGAGGCCTGAACCCTACACCCCGAACCCTACACCCTGAATCTTACACCCTGAATCTTACACCCTGAATCTTACACCCTGAACCCTACATTCTGAATCTTACACCCTGAATTTCACACCTTGAATCCCTCACCCTGAATCCCATACCTTGACGAGGCAGATGCGGGACCCATCGGGCATTTCTGGATTCTCCACGACCTTCGCTGACTGGAGCGCAGCGGAGTGGCATCCCAAGTTGTTCACAGGAGACAACATCACTGCTCATGCCATCCGATCCATCAAGGTGAGACTTGAGTGATTGGCATGCATATAGGTGAGTGAGACTAGAGTCGACCCAAAAAGCACACTGTGGCATCCCAAGCAAGCTGCTCACAGGAGGCAACATCACAGCACATGCCATCCAATCCATCAAGGTGAGATTTGAGTGGACATCCATCTGAGCCAGCACATTTATCAGTGGTCTATCTGGTACATTACCAGTAGTGACTCTAGCACATCACTGGGGGAGTGTGGCATGGTCCATCCATCCAATGCTTGCCATCCATCCAATGCTTGCCATCCATCCAATGCTTGCCATCCATCCAATGCTTGCCATCCATCCAATGCTTGCCATCCATCCAATGCTTGCCATCCATCCAATGCTTGCCATCCCTCCACTGCCGTTCGTCTCGAGAGAATGAGAACATTATTTTTCTTATCCTGTCGACATTCCTGTCGATCTTCTGTTTTGCTTGCACTCTCCTTCGTTTGACACTTCTAGATTCTGATTTCCCCCCCCCCCCCCCCCCCCTGTTTGCATGCATGTACTGTTGTATCGTTGAGTCCCTTCCCTTCACTTCCCTTCACTTCCCTTCCCTTCCCTTCCCTTCCCTTCCCTTCCCTTCCCTTCCCTTCACTTCACTTCCCTTCCCTTCCCTTCACTTCACTTCCCTTCCCTTCCCTTCCCTTCACTTCCCTTCCCTTCCCTTCCCTTCCCTTCCCTTCCCTTCCCTTCACATGTTAACATGTGTGCTTCGTCTTGTTTGCTTTCTCCCATGGCACATCTGCTGCAAACCACTCATGTGCGTCGGACAATACCAGTCTGCAAAGCACTTTGTCCCCTACAAAAGCTTTTGGAACGACTTCAAGTCCAACTTCTCACATGTAAGGCAGCACAGCACAGCACAGCACCTTCTACGAGCTGGTCTCACCTTTTTTAGAATTCTCAAAAACCAGCTTGTCTCACATGTAAGGCGGCACGGCACTGCACTGCACTGCACTTGTTTGCAAACCTCACATCAGCCACCAGCGGATCATCAAACGTTTTTGCCATGCATGAATCGACAGCTCAGCTCATTTTAATAAATCAGTGCTGTGAATTATATCACAGCATGTGTCGTGCCACAGGCCAAGGCAACTCCTGTAGCACATCACATGCCACATACATACCTGACACCTGTCATCTGTTTGCTCTCCTGTCCTGTCGTTTTGCAGATTGTAGACCCTTCCCTTCCACAACCGCCTCTGGTACGAACTGATCCTGCTTTTTCCAGCTGTCCTTTCATCTGCTCTGCTTCTTTATCCTCTGCTCTCCTGTCCTGTCCTTCCATCTGCTCTTCTGTGCTTCCTCTACTTTTCTGGTACTGCCACTAGTGTTTTGCAGCGGCCAATCCCTGCTTTTGTCTGGGGCCCAAGTACAAACCCTCTCTTCACATCACCCATCTGAATGTGCTGCAGAGTGCAAGACATGGCTTCTGCGCCGTGGGTAAAGAGCTTCGCAACTGCTTTCTTTTTGCTCGCAAGTTTGAAAACTCAACCCTAGATTATTTCATGCAAAATTCGTGGACACTGTTTGGATATTGAAGACGAATCATGTGCAAGCATTGTAAGAATATTCATGCTGCGGAATTTCAATCACCTGCATTCCGACTGCCATATTGTTCTCATTTCAAAGCAAAATGTACAGCGTTTGTCATGGGAGCTGGCGAGGCAACCCTAAAACGCTTCCCAGCGATACAATGAGCTTGCTCTGCCAGCAAATCTACTGTAGCCACCACTGTACAGACAGGTTCCGTGCGGTGGGATCCTCTGACGGACGACACGATTGATGAACAAACGGACGGACCGATGCGGACTGATGGACGAACGGCGACGTGGAGTGGCGAGTTGGAACAATCGAATTCCGGGCAACAGGGACGAAGAGCGAGCTAAAACACGGAGGGAAGCAGCAGCGGCGCAGGGGCAGCAGTGAGGAAGCAGATGTTCTGCGATGTGGTGGCCTGCACACAACGATACGGATAGAATATAATCGTTAGCATGGCAAGGAAAACAGGAAAATAAAATAATAAAAACACCGCATGGCAGCCGACACGGCGCGGAAAGAGGAATCGGAAGAAGCGTAAGTACTCACGCTATCAGCGCTGGCCTGCCTTCGCAGCCCACGGTCGCAGATAATGGCGCGACGCAGAGCATCTGCGCATTATCGAAGCAGGAAAAGTGCACGGAAAAAAACGAGCATATTAGCGTGAGTCGACAGGTAGGATAACGAAAGAAATCACAGCATCAACCTTAAAAAGACACCAGGAGAATCAAACGAATCACGATGACACCATAGAGCGCCGCACCTTTCTCCTCAAGAGTACGGCCGCTAGGCGAGGTCTGGAGGCGCTTCATCATCGAGCGCACTTTCCGGCGGCGCTCGTCGTCCTCGGAACCCTCCTCGACGTGCATGGCCTGGTCGACCACGCGCTCCACCATAAGCTTCTTCTCCGCGGCGCTAGATTCCGTTGTTGTGGTGCCGTCGAAGATGGTACTGACGACGGCCTCCTCGTTAGCTTGCTCCACGTGCCCCGCGTGGCACGCGCCCGTGTCGTCGATATAAATCGGCAGGCCCATGTGCACGGCGCCCTCAGCGTCAGCGTACACGACGCGGGTGGCGACCTGAGTAACCTCCACGGACTCCATAGAGAGTTATGCGGAGAGAGTGAGAGGGCGAGGAGACGGCAGTAGGGATTGCAGCAGCAGCTGGGAGAACTGCTTTCCGGCGGAAGAAAACTCAAGCGAAGATAACAAGGCGGACTCGTTGAAGGCAAATTCAGGCTATGAGCGATACGGTGACGCTGGTGAAGGATTGCTGGTAAATACAAGCAAAAAATTGTTCTGTAAATAGAGAAATGTCAATCGTGAAGGCAGAGAAAGGTTTGCTGAATGGATTGCTGGATTGAGCAAATTGAGCCCTTGTATTCCCAGGCGCGGGGGAGGTTGGGGGACGAAAATCGTCAGGTTGGCGGAAAGAGGGGTTGAGAGGGGTGTGGGGGGGGGGGCGGGGGGGGGGATAGTGGTACGGGGTTCGGGGGAGAATGCGTTGGGAGGAAAGCGCAGAGAGCTGTCGGAGATAGCGGGTGAGCGCGGCCGTTAGATGCTGCAGCGCGCAGGCATTCATCGTCCCCCCATGCTCAACTAACCAACCTCTAAAGCCAGACTGGGTTCGCTTTTTTTTTTTTTGTGCTGCGCCTCCGCCTACAACCCTTCATCAACACCGCGTTACCCCAACCGCGTACAGCCTTTCCAGTTTCCCCACGTGAAATCCCGATGACCGAGCCAACACAGCAAAGTCGTGTCCGATGCGATTCGTCTTCAGCACGTGCTGGAGCTGCCAGCCTCATCTCCTATGGCCCACGATGATTGGCGCATTTGTGAACTACGACACTGGTTGCGAAAACTGTTGTTCCACCGTGGCTCGCGAATACTAACGCCTCGGTGTAACACATATCGCTGCTGATTCTAAACTAAATGCTGCTCAGGGAGTGGAGAGATCGCGCCAACGTGGCAAAATGAGGATGGTTATTGGTGTCATTGCAGAGTAATATTTCGTCATGCAGACCCTCATGCCTATCTGTAACCCACCAGCAGTCTTGCCAGCTCTTGAGTCTGTTGGAACTGTTTGTATCCACATCAGCATCACGAATCCCAAGATTGGTGGGTACACGAAACAGGCTATAAAATAACAACGTATACTCTCTCATACTACTACCCGTCGCATATGATGTGAACTTTCTCAAGTTCGATATCAATATAACTTCCCATATAATTCACACAAAACAGGTACAACTGAAATGAATGCTTGGGATTTTTCAATACCATTTTAAAAATAGTTTGCACAAGCAAAAGTTTAAAACTGACCTAAAGAATCCACGGCGACATAATTAGCAATTGATTGGTCTAAAAGCCTCATAACGGCAAGATTTTCTTAAATACGTCGAGAACGTATTAAAATAAATAAGGTATTGTCACGATAACAATGTCAAATGGAAAATCAATCGTGTACGTTTTTTTTAAGAAAAAAATATATTAGAATTACTAGTAAAATTTTGAGTATTAATCGACTGTTTTGATTCAGAATTTTTCAATAAGCAGAAAATGAAGTTATAGTGACAATATATGTTTTTATGTTTAAGAAATTGAAATACTCTCTTATTTGCGCATAGAATAGTTGTTACACAGGGGCGCGTAACAAGGGGGCAATTTTCCCTCTTAGGGCGCGTAACTTTTTGTGAACCGACAGTCCGGATGGCAGCAGTCTGGACACTAGGAGGTTACCGTCCTCGAGAAATCTCGTTGGTACCTCTGCTACGTCGCTCGCATGCGGCCCATTTTGTGGCACTTTTGGAGCAGTTTAGTCGTCCAGACGATAACTGGACGAAATAATGGACCGCCAAACAGTAAACTCGTCCGAAACGCCGAAGCTCTGGGTTCGGCGAGGTGAGATGAAGTCTGACATGTTTGCACAAGGCGAAGCAGCTAACGAGGCTAAACTGACCAGCCTCGATTTCTTGTGACTGGTTCGGCAACCTAGAAGACTGGTTGGGGCTTTCAGATCCAGTGCAGCACACGTCAAGGGTTGACCATGCCTAATGTCCATTTTGCCACTGAAACGATATTTAGCCTACAGAACCGTTGTTTACCGCATCTGAACTGACGATTTCCCCTAAACTCCCCTCCATCCCTCTCCTAACGAGAATTGAGATTGCAGCCTTCCTCCAAATCTCCCAATCCTGTCAGTTCGTTATGTAGCTACTCTCTTTGACAACATCAACGGTCTGTCCTTGTTCAGGGTTTCGCATTTCCACCTCCATCTCCCTCTGCAGTCATTTTTCGTCTCCTATTTCCCGAATCTCTGCTTCCGACTTCTGATCTTTGAAGCACGAGCCTCGTGCATCCTTATCCACTCCCAGCTTGGATTAGGATCACCGCCATTTTTTACGTCTGCATGGTATACGTGTTATGGAGTCTTTGAAAAATGTGCTGGCGTCAAAGGAAGGGGCTGGTGGATCAGTTGCGTCAACTGGAGGAGGGACTAGGTACGTTCCTACACCTGTTCCGTCTCAGGTCGATGCACGGGAGTATTCTGAAGGTGGTTCTTTTGTCCTTGTACATTTTTCTTGCTGATCCGATACCATTCCAGGCAGATAGAAATATGTGCATTTGATACTGGAACGTAAGCTTAGGCCCATGGTGCGAGCAGCTATTTGCAATCGATGGCGCTCTTGGTCCTCTTCTCGTCTACACATTTTCGTTGCTTCATACCGCAAAGGTATAACATTTGGCGTATTTAACGACAATCAGTGGCCACTATGAGACAAAAAAGATGTGCTGGTTAGTTTCCTGTTTGGCGTAGAATGACACTACTCTTAACCACGCATACTTGGGACAATGCCTAGGTTGGAAGCCAGATCTACTGTTCCGCTCTAATGTCCGCATTTAGAAATCCCATGACAGGCTTCTCATGTTGTTGGGTTAGGACATTTGCCAACAATGTCGGAAAAAACTTCTCCCAACACTAGCCCTTCAACGTGATCGTTGTATTGCCTGAGTCAGTCGAATGCATTTTTTTTCCTAAAATCTCGCCAACCACGTATTGTTGGTGGATTTTTTTTCTACTTCTGTTGTTTCTTCCATTTATTTTCCCTACCTGTCGTGTGCCAAATGTATACAGCGAGGATGGAACCTTCAGCTTCGGGTTTTCGCAACTTCGCGGAAAGCGTCTGTTTATGGAAGATTTCCAGGATGCACGGATAGCGAAGGTTGGCGATCAAATTATTGGACTTTTTGGCGTCTTCGACGGTGAGTCTTGCTTCAATGTCTCATGTTCCGTCGCGTGATCTGTTTGCTGTGTTCGAACGAACGAGGGTATCAGCTGTTTGTTGGGAATAATATGGTGAGACTGAGGGTGACGAATGCTATTTCCGTGATGACTGGAATTGCGTGCTCTTGCGGAGTGTTCGCCAAAAATCCACTTGCGTGCCGTCTCATCCATCCCGTTCTCCTCCTCAGGCCATGGCGGTTCTCGGGCAGCGGAGTACGTGAAGGAGCATCTGTTCAAGAATCTTATTGACCATCCAGAATTTGTCACCAACATAAAGCAAGCAATTTGTAAGTTAAAGGAGAACGTTTCTGCGAATGGACGTATACCTCCTCAGCCTCTCCCTCCAGCTTCCCAATCGCACTTTTCCGCTAATCCCGCCACCTTCCATCCATTCTGTATTTTCCCTCCACATGTTTGAGTTCTTTTTCGTCCAGACACACACTTTCTTCTCTCCTCCTGCTGCTGGCTATTGCCGCTGCTTATTCTGCTGCTGCTGCTTCTCAATTCCTGTGACCCGATTTCTGGCAGCCGAGACATTCAAGCGGACTGACGACGCGTACCTGAGCACTGACAACGGGCAGAACCGCGATGCGGGAAGCACGGCGTCGACGGCAGTGTTGATGGGCAAGAAGCTGCTCGTTGCCAATGTCGGTGACTCCAGGACAGTCGTTTGCAGAAAGGGTCAAGGTATGTCCATCCATGCCCGTGCCGCTGTGCTCGCGTCTTGATGCTCTTGCGTTTGTACTCGTGTGTCGGTTGCTCGTGCGCATGCTCGTTCGCGCATGCTCGTTTTTCCCCGTCTGCGATCATCTGCGATGCGCCCTCGTCAGTCGCGCCACACGCATGTCTCTCGGCATGCCTCCCGCTCGTGTCCCTTTTGGCAACAGACGCTACGAAACACTTGCTGTTGGCTTTGTAGCATGTTTTCTGGTCTATTTTTCAGCGGATCAGGTTGATGGACACCATAACGTATCAGATTGCTAACCGTTTTTTTCGGAATCATTCCTTGCTCTCTGTCGCGGTGGAAACCACGTTCGTTTACAGCAACTCCACTCTCGAAGGATCACAAGCCAAACCGGGTGGACGAGAAGGAGCGAATTGAACAAGCCGGTGGCTCCGTCATGTGGGCTGGTGAGCCTCCTGTCCTGAGCGAATTGAGGCGCCTCAAAAGTCTGTCCTGTAGCATAATCTAAATACGCACCCTCTCACCATGGCTCCTCTCGCCGTCCCATAATCTTTCCCGCCTCTAACTTCGTGCAAGTGCGTCTGTACAATCTCGGCCTTGTTTTTGAAGTAGACTCACCTGGCCAACTTAAAAGTTGTCCGATATGCTTGGATTCTGCATTGAGTTAACCCAAACAGCGCCCTCACGGCGCCGAACTAGGAAAGCCCTAGAGTGCTTTCAGACTTTTCCACATGAAAGTGTGGTGGTAGGCGTGCTTGATGTTGGCGTGACGTTTTGCCTTCTTTCCGCACTAGCTTTGTTATTCCATGACTGGCCTCCTTGCAACGTTTTTGTCCTTCCACGTCTCTTGCCTTTCCGTCTGCGCGTCCGTCCGGCGTGCGTGTGAACCCCTGCCCGCGTATTCGTGCATGCACTGACTGTCTTGCTGTCCGCAGGAACGTGGCGAGTGGGTGGCGTTCTTGCCGTCTCTCGTGCGTTTGGAGACAAGCTACTGAAACGATACGTCGTGGCCGAGCCGGAAATCGAGGTACGCGGACGTCATGTTGATCCAGTCGTCCCTGCGTACTCTGCCTACTCACTCTGTGCTCTCCCGTTACAGAGTTCCCTGTGCTTCCAAATGCATATTGTCACACCTCCTTGTATCCATGTTTAGTCCCATTTCCTCCCCAATGCATCCCAACTCTCCATCCCTCCACCCTGTATCTCGCGTATGCTTTCTCTTCTCTCGTCTCCTCTTCTCGTTTCTCCTCGTCTCTCACTCTCTTCCTCCTCTCCTCCCCCCGCCGTCCACGCTTTCACTCTCCGTCACCTGCACTCCCAGGAGTATGATGTGACGGCGGAGGACGAGTTCCTTGTGCTGGCCAGTGACGGCCTCTGGGATGTCGTCAAGGATCAGGTCAGTGCCACTGCCAGTGCCAGTGCCAGTGCCAGTGCCATCTACCAAGTGATTTTGATGGTTTCCTCCCCTTCCCCACTCCCTTCCCCCACTCCTTGCTCCCACTCCCCCGCCCCACTCCCCTTCTCCACTCCCCTCCCCTCACCCCCTCTCCTCCCCCACTCCCCTCCCCTCCCTCCCACCCATCCCTTCCACCACTGCCGAACACCCATGCATAAGCCCCATTCGCTCACTTGATCCTATCCTTCCCATCTGGTCCTTTTGCCTTTTAATCGTGCATGTTGTAGTCCCTCTGTCCCTCCGTCCCCATTCTCCCTTGTCCCATGTCCACCCTTCCACAACCCCCCTTCCACCCCCCCTCTGCTCCCCCCCCCACGCGCCCCCCCCCTCGCTCCCCTTCTCGCGCCCGCCCGCCCTCTGCCCCCCCTCTCCCCTCGCCCCCTTTCTCCATCCGCCCACCTGCCTGCAGGACGCGATCAACATGGTGCAGCAGACGCTGGACGCTGAGGAAGCAGCCAAGTTCCTCACACAGGAGGCGTACCGCCGCGGCAGTGCCGATAACATCACCTGCGTCGTCGTGCGCTTCCTGCACGTGCAGGACGGCGCTGCTGCTGCCCACTAAAAGCGTGCACGTCCACGCGAGCGCGAATGCGTGGCACTGGGTTGCTCTGAGCACTTGCTGGGGCTCCAGTCCATTTGCTGGCTGCTAGATCGTTTACTGGAGGCTTCGGACTGTGACTGTGCTGCTCTTGGTCACTTGGATGGAACTTCTTCCTTCGCCGCATGCTTCCTCTCATTGGCTCACCATTGCATTCTCCTTGCCTCCTCATTGCACCTCGTTCATTATCACATGCATCCTTCTCTGCTCTTCCCCCTCCTCGCACCCTACCCTCTTCCGCTCTCGCTCGCGCGCTTTCCCTCACTCTCACACACGTGCACTGGCCTGGTTGTGTAGCACTAGTTTGCATGCGTCTAGCTGAGACATCAACCATCATCAGCAGCAGATGCAGCAGTGCAAGTAGCAGTGAACAGCAGCAGCAGCAGCTAAGGGCTCATCATAGTGGTTAGCAAACTATGGTAGGAGAAGCTTGTTGCGAGCTAGGCTGGACTGGGCTATCTCTGGGCAGGTCAAGAAGTTTTATATTTTGTTTTTTTTTTTTTTTTCCTATCCTTCCCCTGCTAGAAAGGTAGATTGTGTGCGACTGCAGATGGGCTGTCGGTTCTGATATACAATCAGAGTGGGGATGAATGATGCAGGAAGTCTGGGGAGGGATGGTAAGTTGGTTGTGAAGGGAGGCTCTTCAGCTTTTATTTTGGAGGTCTCCATGCAGAGTGACAGTTATGAATGTAGGAAGAGGATTTCATGAATCTCAGAATGGACGACAGTTAGGAGCCATTATGTGTCACTAAAACCAGCAAATATCTCAAGAGTGTGTGCCCTTGCTCGTTTTGCCCTTGCTAGGACACCAAGACACCACAGTCCAAATGACAATTCCACATGGTAGCAAAACGCTATGCTTGCCAGGGTGTGAGAGAGGTCAGTTGAAACTTGGAATTGCACGTGTAGGTGGAGGGATGCGATGTGTGATACCATAAATCACAGGGCTGAACTGGGTGGGAGCCCCTGGTTTGCAGGTTGAGATGCGCAAACAGCCTTCAACTCAGAAAAGATAGTACAAATTCTCATTGTACCTACGGGTAGTTGATCTTTGCAAGAGAAATCATTCAGAGCCCCTGGTATACGTGCTGGTGCTGGGGCATGTGAGCAGCTTCTGATGCTGCTGCGCCGACTAAGAATTGCGAGAGGAGTCACTCTGAGTCCCGGTTCTGCATGTTGAGGCGTGCAAGTAGCTCCTGTTGCTGCTGCTCAGGTAAGGCCTGAAAGATGAATACACTCTTGTCTCCAATGTCATCCTGTACGCACATACATGCGCACATGTTCATTCACACATGCACATTCACACATGTTTGCAGGCATGCACAAACAGACAAAAACATGTACACGCATACAAACTTGTACACATACATGGTACCACTAATCATGGTTAACGCAAACAAGAGGCGGGATCACACTTCTTTCCACACCAAAATCTCCTTCCAAAACAGGTCTCCCCGCCTCGTGTTTCACTTCAGCGACCAAAGCCCCCCAAAGAGTCCCCACAATTGCCATCACTCACAGTACAATTCTCGAGGGCTCAGGATAACGCATTTCACGATACCTTGACGGGTTGGGTGAACTTGCGAGCAGCGAAGACAGCAAAGAGTGCCATCCACACGGCAAGGAGACCCTTCTCCACTGTCACGTCCATCAGCCCGCTCTTTAGAGGGGGGAGAGGGCATAGGGAGAGCAGCAGAAAGAGCATCTGGAACAGGGTCAGCAAAGAGCGCTGAAGGCACAGCGAGGAGACCCTTCTCCAATGTCACGTCCATGAGCCTGCTCTGGGGGAGAGAGGGGAGAGGGGGGAGGAAAAGATGGCATAGGGAGAGCAGGAAATACAGAATAGGGAGCAGCGAAGACAGCAAAGAGCGCCCATCCACACAGCGAGGAGACCCTTCTCCAATGTCACGTCCATGAGCCCGCTCTTTAGAGGGGGGGAGGGGGGAGAGGGAGAGGTGGCATAGGGAGGGTGGCATAGGGAGGGTGGCATAGGGAGAGGGGCATAGGGAGAGGGGCATAGGGAGAGGGGCATAGGGAGAGGGGCATAGGGAGAGGGGCATAGGGACGAGGGGCATAGGGAGAGGGGCATAGGGACGAGCGGGAATAGGGAGAGGGGCATAGGGAGAGGGGCACTAGGAGAGGGCATAGGAAGAGGGCATAGGGAGAGGGGCATAGGAGAGGCATAGGAGAGGGCATAGGGAGAGGGGCATAGGGAGAGGGGCCATAGGGAGAGGGGCATAGGGACCGAGGGGCATAGGGGGCATAGGGAGAGGGGCATAGGGAGAGGGGCATAGGGAGAGGGGCATAGGGAGAGGGGCATAGGGAGAGGGGCATAGGGAGAGGGGCATAGGGAGAGGGGCATAGGGAGAGGGGCATAGGGAGAGGGGCATAGGGAGAGGGGCATAGGGAGAGGGGCATAGGGAGAGGGGCATAGGGAGAGGGGCATAGGGAGAGGGGCATAGGGAGAGGGGCATAGGGAGAGGGGCATAGGGAGAGGGGCATAGGGAGGGGGCATAGGGAGGGGGCATAGGGAGAGGGGCATAGGGAGAGGGGCATAGGGAGAGGGGCATAGGGAGAGGGGCATAGGGAGAGGGGCATAGGGAGAGGGGCATAGGGAGAGGGGCATAGGGAGAGGGGCATAGGGAGAGGGGCATAGGGAGAGGGGCATAGGGAGAGGGGCATAGGGAGAGGGGCATAGGGAGAGGGGCATAGGGAGAGGGGCATAGGGAGAGGGGCATAGGGAGAGGGGCATAGGGAGAGGGGCATAGGGAGAGGGGCATAGGGAGAGGGGCATAGGGAGAGGGGCATAGGGAGAGGGGCATAGGGAGAGGGGCATAGGGAGAGGGGCATAGGGAGAGGGGCATAGGGAGAGGGGCATAGGGAGAGGGGCATAGGGAGAGGGGCATAGGGAGAGGGGCATAGGGAGAGGGGCATAGGGAGAGGGGCATAGGGAGAGGGGCATAGGGAGAGGGGCATAGGGAGAGGGGCATAGGGAGAGGGGCATAGGGAGAGGGGCATAGGGAGAGGGGCATAGGGAGAGGGGCATAGGGAGAGGGCATAGGGAGAGGGGCATAGGGAGAGGGGCATAGGGAGAGGGGCATAGGGAGAGGGGCATAGGAGAGAGGGGCATAGGGAGAGGGGCATAGGGAGAGGGGCATAGGGAGAGGGGCATAGGGAGAGGGGCATAGGGAGAGGGGCATAGGGAGGGGGCATAGGGAGAGGGGCATAGGGAGAGGGGCATAGGGAGAGGGGCATAGGGAGAGGGGCATAGGGAGAGGGGCATAGGGAGAGGGGCATAGGGAGAGGGGCATAGGGAAGAGGGGCATAGGGAGAGGGGCATAGGGAGAGGGGCATAGGAGAGGGGCATAGGGAGAGGGGCATAGGGAGAGGGGCAATAGGGAGAGGGGCATAGGGAGAGGGGCCATAGGGAGAGGGGCATAGGGGGGGCATAGGGAGGGTGGCATAGGGAGAGGGGCATAGGGAGAGGGGCATAGGGAGAGGGGCATCGGGATGTAGGGTGCATAGGGAGAGGTGGCCATAGGAGAGGGGCATAGGGGAGAGGGGCATAGGGAGGAGGGGCATAGGGAGAGGGGCATAGGGAGAGGGGCATAGGGAGAAGGGGCATAGGAGAGGGGCATAGGGAGAGGGGCATAGGGAGAGGGGCATAGGAGAGGGGCATAGGGAGAGGGGCATAGGGAGAGGGGCATAGGGAGATGGGCATAGGGAGAGGGGCATAGGGACGAGGGGCATAGGGAGAGGGGCATAGGGAGAGGGGCATAGGAGAGGGGCATAGGGAGAGGGGCATAGGGAGAGGGGCATAGGAGAGAAGGGCATAGGAGAAGGGGCATAGGGAGAGGGGCATAGGGAGAGGGGGCATAGGGAGAGGGGCATAGGGAGAGGGGCATAGGGAGAGGGGCATAGGGAGAAGGGGCATAGGGAGAGGGGCATAGGGAGAGGGGCATAGGGAGAGGGGCATAGGGAGAGGGGCATAGGAGAGGGCATAGGGAGGGGCATAGGGAGAGGGGCATAGGGAGAGGGCATAGGGAGAGGGGCATAGGAGAGGGCATAGGAGAGGGGCATAGGGAGAGGGGCATAGGGAGAGGGGCATAGGGAGAGGGGCATAGGGAGAGGGGGCATAGGGAGAGGGGCATAGGGAGAGGGGCATAGGGAGTAGGGGCATAGGGAGAGGGGCATAGGGAAGAGGGGCATAGGGAGAGGGCATAGGGAGAGGGGCATAGGGAGAGGGGCATAGGGAGAGGGGCATAGGGAGAGGGCATAGGGAGAGGGGCATAGGGAGAGGGCATAGGGAGAGGGGCATAGGGAGAGGGGCATAGGGAGAGGGGCATAGGGAGAGGGCATAGGGAGAGGGGCCATAGGGAGAGGGGCATAGGGAGAGGGGCATAGGGAGAGGGCATAGGGAGAGGGGCATAGGGAGAGGGGCATAGGGAGAGGGCATAGGGAGAGGGGCATAGGGAGAGGGGCATAGGGAGAGGGGCATAGGGAGGGGCATAGGGCATAGGGAGAGGGGGCATAGGGAGAGGGGCATAGGGAGAGGGGCATAGGGAGAGGGGCATAGGGAGAGGGGCATAGGGAGAGGGGCATAGGGAGAGGGGCATAGGGAGAGGGGCATAGGGAGAGGGGCATAGGGAGAGGGGCATAGGGAGAGGGGCATAGGGAGAGGGGCATAGGGAGAGGGGCATAGGGAGAGGGGCATAGGGAGAGGGGCATAGGGAGAGGGGCATAGGGAGAGGGGCATAGGTGAGAGGGGCATAGGGAGAGGGGCATAGGGAGAGGGGCATAGGGAGAGGGGCATAGGAGAGGGGCATAGGGAGAGGGGCATAGGGAGAGGGGCATAGGGAGAGGGGCATAGGGAGAGGGCATAGGGAGAGGGGCATAGGGAGAGGGGCATAGGGACGAGGGGCATAGGGAGAGGGGCATAGGGAGAGGGGCATAGGGAGAGGGGCATAGGGAGAGGGCATAGGGAGAGGGCATAGGGAGAGGGGCATAGGGAGAGGGGCATAGGGAGAGGGGCATAGGGAGAGGGGCATAGGGAGAGGGGCATAGGGAGAGGGGCATAGGGAGAGGGGCATAGGGAGAGGGGCATAGGGAGAGGGGCATAGGGAGAGGGGCATAGGGAGAGGGGCATAGGGAGAGGGGCATAGGGAGAGGGGCATAGGGAGAGGGGCATAGGGAGAGGGGCATAGGGAGAGGGGCATAGGAGAGGGGCATAGGGAGAGGGGCATAGGGAGAGGGGCATAGGGAGAGGGGCATAGGGAGAGGGGCATAGGGAGAGGGGCATAGGGAGAGGGGCATAGGGAGAGGGGCATAGGGAGAGGGGCCATAGGGATGAGGTGCATAGGGAGAGGGGCATAGGGAGAGGGGCATAGGGAGAGGGGCATAGGGAGAGGGGCATTCTGGAGAGGGGCATAGGGAGAGGGGCATAGGGAGAGGGGCATAGGGAGAGGGGCATAGGGAGAGGGGCCATAGGGAGAGGGCATAGGGAGAGGGGCATAGGGAGAGGGGCATAGGGAGAGGGGCATAGGGAGAGGGGCATAGGGAGAGGGGCATAGGGAGAGGGGCATAGGGAGAGGGGCATAGGGAGAGGGGCCATAGGGAGAGGGGCATAGGGAGAGGGGCATAGGGAGAGGGGCATAGGGAGAGGGGCATAGGGAGAGGGGCATAGGGAGAGGGGCATAGGGAGAGGGGCATAGGGAGAGGGGCATAGGGAGAGGGGCATAGGGAGAGGGGCATAGGGAGAGGGGCATAGGGAGAGGGGCATAGGGAGAGGGGCATAGGGAGAGGGGCATAGGGAGAGGGGCATAGGGAGAGGGGCATAGGGAGAGGGGCATAGGGAGAGGGGCATAGGGAGAGGGGCATAGGGAGAGGGGCATAGGGAGAGGGGCATAGGGAGAGGGGCATAGGGAGAGGGGCATAGGGAGAGGGGCATAGGGAGAGGGGCATAGGGAGAGGGGCATAGGGAGAGGGGCATAGGGAGAGGGGCATAGGGAGAGGGGCATAGGGAGAGGGGCATAGGGAGAGGGGCATAGGGAGAGGGGCATAGGGAGAGGGGCATAGGGAGAGGGGCATAGGGAGAGGGGCATAGGGAGAGGGGCATAGGGAGAGGGGCATAGGGAGAGGGCATAGGGAGAGGGCCATAGGGAGAGGGCATAGGGAGAGGGGCAAGGGAGAGGGGCATAGGGGGAGGGGCATAGTGAGCGGGGCATAGGGAGAGGGGCATAGGGAGGGGCATAGGGAGAGGGGCATAGGGAGAGAGGGGCATAGGGAGAGGGGCATAGGGAGAGGGCATAGGGAGAGGGGGCATAGGGAGCGTGGCATAGGGAGAGGGGCATAGGGAGAGGTGCACATAGGAGAGGGGCACATAGGGAGAGGGGGGCATAGGGAGAGGAAGGCATAGGGAGAGGGGCATAGGCGGAGGAGAGGGCATAGGGAGAGGGGCATAGGGAGAGGGGCATAGGGAGAGGGGCATAGGGAGAGGGGCATAGGGAGAGGGGCATAGGGAGAGGGGCATAGGGAGAGGGGCATAGGGAGAGGGGCATAGGGAGAGGGGCATAGGGAGAGGGGCATAGGGAGAGGGGCATAGGGAGAGGGGCATAGGGAGAGGGGCATAGGGAGAGGGGCATAGGGACGAGGGGCATAGGG